AAATAGGCACATAAGTACGTAGGTATGCATATATAGGTAGGCGTATGTAGGTATCAGATGCACTACCACTGTTCCTACCATCAACACCCCCATGCCATCCGACCTATCCCTACTATAAGCGTTGGCTCTAAGCACCGCCAGAGATCAATGAGGCACGCCGCTGTGGGTGGAATGGACACCGATACATGTATGTGTGTGTACGCATACAAAAAGAATGCTCGTGTACGTGATAGCTATACATATGCTGTGTACATGTGTATCTGATAGCTGCTATACATATGCTGTGTACATGTGTATCTGATAGCTACACATGTACCTATATGTGCGCGTGGGAGTGTGCATGGTACTGTGCAAGCAACGGAGGGTGATGGCAACTAACTGCGGCCCATCGCAGCCCCGATCACACCCAGTATCCTCTCCGGGGGGGGGGTGTACTTTGCTAATCTTGTATATACATATGCGTATGTACTTTGCTACTCTTGTATCTACATATGCGCATATCCTTTGTTACACGTATGTCTAAAGGTGCGTGTGACAGATGTCAACAGCACGTTGCACCAGCACAAACACACGGTCACTTACTTCGACCAAGGTCATCGTAACCATTGCCACTGCCCCCGTAACCGTAGTCGTCATCCCGTCCCATACCACTGTTACCATGGTAACCACCATACCCACTCCTATATTGTCCGAATATAAAACATGTGCGGGTGTAGGATTTCATGAAAATAATAATAATAATATTAATAAATATATATATATATATATATATATTTAGCAGGAAGAAGATTACATTTGCCACATGAAGATTTTAAGATGATATTTTGACACGTGAGAAAATAAGACATCATTCGCGACTATTGGCTGGTTACTTATGCTGAGTGCAGAGCATGACACGTTCCCATGATTGCTGAGTTGCCTGTACCACACCTATCTACGCCCCCAAATCACTACAAACAAAGTAGAATCTCTCTTTCATCCGGTACATGTGCACGTAATCGGATTTGTATGTGGTCATGACATTCGCATGAGTGTATTCATATGTTATTGAGAGTGTGTAGAGTGAGTGTACAGTACACACAGTCAACGTGTGTATGTCAGTATGGTGTGTCAAGGGAGAGCCACACATGTCCACTTGGACAATGTACGATAATTAAACAAATACGAGCTCCAAAATACATACCCGTGAAAAGGGAAGGATACTGAACATCCTCTCAGCCATTGAATGTGCATATATATATATACATATATATTGTATTTAAATAGAAATTATGTCATTACAAATCATGTAAATATAAACCTGACGTATACTCGATAGCAGGTTGCTAACACACCTTTCGTCAAACTTGTTGAGCATGGCTGTTTGGTTCTGCGCGCGATCGTCTACGTTGCTGTCAATCACACGCATGCCACTGGAAGCCTTGTGTCCACTGCCCTTCTTACCTCCTGCATGATGTAACATAGTATGTGTAAGGGTACAATGACAGTACATGTAAGCATAGTACATGTAAGGGTACTATAACATAGTACTTGTAGGGGTACGATAACATAGTACGTGTGACCAAAACGTATGTAGTTTACAAGCCATACAAATGATAGGACAACTTAATCAGATCGGGTCTCATGTTGCCAATGGCTGTACTGCGCGTTCTGTGAGTTGACTATGTATTAAGGTATGGTAAATGCACACCCGCTCTGAACATCCACCCCTTAAACACCCCCTTACAGCACTGGCTGTTAGTAGGATACTACGGTTGATATCTATAATAGCAACGTAGACAAATCGGAGTCGAGAAGTAGAGCCGTGCTTATATCTATAAACATGCATACGCTTATGAACTTTGGGAATGTACATCCCAAATACACTCTGCTAAGTCGATAGAAACACAAGGAAAAATGTTTTAACGGGATCCGCTTCCAGAGGTATACATAGCGCATACAAACATCCGATTGCACATAGGCAAAAGAGCACGCATTGACAACTTGCACACTCCACCAAACTATTCATACCCCTTTAACCACACATAAACACACACACACACACACACACTCATACATACATACATACACAACCCCACACATATATATAAAAACACACACACACACGTACACACACACATATATATATATATATACACTCACACTCACATATAAATATGAACACCCACACACCCACACACAAATGTATAAACATCACCCACCACCCACCTGTGCGACTTACGCCCATGCCCAGGCGATCGACCTGCTTGGCCTGGTTAGCATTCATGTTCTTCTTCTTTGCATCGGCATCGTACTGCAGCCTACTGGAGAAGCCACTTAAGTCCTCATCTGTTGTCTGATTGTTCAGATCACTCTGTTTCCGTGAACTTTGTCCGTGTGCGGCCATCTCGGCGGCATACTGCAAGCGATAGTGAAGGCAGACTGTATGAAGGAGTGTGATACGTACTACAAGAGATAGAAAACACATACTATACTACTCAGTACTACACGTACTACAAGTGGTAACTAACACACACTACACTACTAAAACCGCATATTTGTGCAAGGATAGTTAATACTAAACGTCAGTTCTGATACAACATAGATACATAGATACATACATATGTAGATATATATATATATATATTAAAACCGCATATTTGTGCAAGGATAGTTAATACTAAACGTCAGTTCTGATACAACATAGATACATAGATACATACATATGTAGATATATATATATATATTTATATATATATATACAATAAATCCAAGGTAAAGCCACAACAACTCCGCACACCACCTGCTTGCATACGCAGGTAACGTGCTACATACATGCATGGATCAGTATTTGCTTCACTGTGATGTATTACATGTAAGTGGGCCCTGGATGAGTCCTAACTATCATGCTTGTACACACCTTAGCCTTCTCTTCATCCGCTCGTTTGATTTCCTCTTCCAATTGGTCAAAGTCGACCGGAGTCGACTTCTTAGCGGCTCCGAGCCCGCCTTTTCCTTTTTTGGTCGCCCCAAGACCACCGGCCTTCTTACGTGCTCCTAGTGCACCGACTTTCTTTGCCGCTGCATTGTGCAAGTCAGTGTGATTGTTATATTCTACTTTCGTTCATCATATACATATAAATATACATATACATATACGTATACATCTACACATACACATATATACATACATATATACATACATACACATACAAACATACATACATAAATACATGCATACACACATACATACATATATACATATAGATATATATATTATAGAGGTACATCGCTCTGAATAGGAACAATTCTTGATACTATGGTGATACGTAACATTTGGCTCAAAGTCGCAGTAGTGCCACCGGGTCATACACTCAAACGATGGCTATACTTGCACAAGTCTATAAAATTGTACACACAATAAACGCTATATATATAGACACGATACACACACACACACCACACACAATTTAAGTCACAATATATATTTATTAAAAATTAAATACATATATATATATATATATATGTGTGTGTGTGTGAGTGTGTGTATGTATATATAGATATACATAATATAAATATATACACACAAATATATATTAAATACATACATACATATATACATACATACATATATAT